TTTTTTTTTTTTTGCATAGTTGGAAATTAGGGCAAGTATCTAAACAGCTATCAACTGAAAAAAAAAAGATAGTGAAGTGGCAGAAAGGATGGCTAAAATGTGGCATGGGGTGGTTTGGGTGTAGATCATCAGACTAAATGCTACAGATTTCATGCACAGACAAGGGTATTGAGAAGTGCAGAGAAGCGCATAGAAGTTACAGTGTTTCAAACATGCATAGGCTGGCACCACTGTGAGACATTTAAATGTGAACCACTGAAGGAAGCGAGTGAATAGCAGCCAGACTGCGAAGCAGTGACAACAATGTGTCTCCCTGGAGGCTCCTTTATTTCCTGGACATTGGTGCATGCTTCAAGGTGTTTCCAACTTGTGACAGGAATATGGGTCCCGAACAGTTACAGTCTTTACTAATCCAACTAAAGCATCATCTTATGCTTGGCCTTAGCCATGGCATCTGTTTCTGTATCTTAGTTTTGAAATTTGAACCTTATGCTGAGTGATCCATGACAGTTTCCCAGTGATGAGGACAGTACATGTTTCTCTTTCTAAAACTGCTTCCGTTGCAAACTGTCCCTTCTTCACACTATACCTCAAAAGCCGTTCCATGTGACGACTCTCTTAGAATAAGCACCCATCTGGGTCAATCACCTGTTATGAGTAAGGTATTTCCGCCAGCTGGTCTGGTCCCACCGCTGTGCCAGCCCCAAATAACACACAGAGAGGCTAGGCTGTATTAGATAGAAAGCTGTTGGCCAGTTACTTGTTTCTTTACGGCTAGCTCTGTCTTAAGTATTAACCCATTTCTATTACTCTAAGTACTTCCACGTGGTCTTATCTTACCGGACAGAGGGGCTGGCGTTCTTCTCTCTCCGTCCTCCATCTTCAATCTCCTCCCTACTACTTCTGGAATCCTCTTTGTCTCCTAGTCCCGCCTACCTTCCTTTCCTATTGGCCAACTGTGCTTTATTCACTAACCGATAAGAGAACATCTCTCATCAGTCACCTCCTGAGGTTGCTGTAAAACCAGAGACTGTGGACTTGGCAGGAATAAAGAGATGGGAGACCCAGTGCCGGCCAGGTACCACCAAGGTCCGCCACAGGAAAGTGGAAGTGCTATGAACCACCGTGGCTGTAAAACCCAAGTTCCACTTTGGCATGAGTTTTATGTAGACAAGATGCTTTCCTCTGTTTACAAACAGACTTTGCAACAATAAATAAAAACATGAACAGTATGCTTGCTGAGTATGCAGAAAAGCTTACATACTGAATTAGGAGTGAAAATTTTATTGAAAGGTTAATGTTTGATGTGGATAATATTTAAGCCATTCTTTTATGAAAATATGATAATTTCCTTACCATTTTTTTCCTTTTTAAAATTTATCTGAGAAACAAGCTTGTTTCACATGTCAATCCCAGTCCCCACACCCTCCCATCCTCCCATGCCCCCCCACCAATCCCCTATTCCACCCCCTTTCTGTTCTCCAGTGAGGGTGAGGCCTTCCATGGGGAGTCTTCAAAGTCTGTCACATCATTTGGAGCAGGGCCCAGGCCCTCCCCCATGTATCTAGGCTGAGAGAGTATCCCTCTATATGGAATGGGCTCCCAAAGTCCATTTGTATGCTAGGGATAAATACTGATCCGCTACCAGAGTCCCCATAGACTGCCCAGCCCTCCTAACTGAGACCCACGTTCAGAGAGTCTGGGTTGGTCCTATGCTGGTTTCCCAGCTATCAGACTGGGTGCATGAGCTCCCCCTTGTTCAGGTCAGCAGTTGCCTCAAAGTATAGAAGTCAGTTAGTGGTGATACACATCTTTAATCCCAGCAGCCAGAAGCTGGGTGGTGATGGCACACACTTTTAGTCCTAAAACTCAGGATTAAGAGATAGAGGGATCTCTCTGAGTTCATGGCTACCCAGGATACAGAAATCGGTAAAACAGTAACAAATCACATGCCTTTAATCCCAGCACTAGAGGAGTATGAAAGATAGGAGCAGGATCTTTAGTAGTGAGGAGAGGCACACTGAGGAGAGGTTAATCTGAGGCTTGGTGAGAGCTCTTGGAGACAGGATCAACTCATTCAGCCTGAGGTTGAGATAAGAAGCTAGCTGCTTTGCTTTTTTGACATTCCGCTTGAAGTCTGGACCCCAATATCACTGGGTCATTTATTGAATCCTAGAATTAAAGGTATATACTACTACCTCCTAGCTTTTGGGTGCTGGGATTAAAGGTATGTATCACCACTACCTAATCTCTATAGTTTGAGGCTGACTTTGCTTTTCTGAATCCTCAGGCAAGCTTTAATAAATCAAAAACAATATATCACTACAGCTTATATACTGAATTGGGAATGAAAAGTTTATTGAAAGGTTAATGTTTGATGTGGTGAATGTTTAAGCCATTCTTTCATTAAAACATGATAATTTCCTTACCAAGTTTCTTACCATTTTAATTTCCTTGATCCTGATTAAAGCAATTTTCAAATATATGCAACTACTTTTAATAGATTTAACTCAATTCTCTGTATGGTTTTCAATGATACATAAAGCATGTGGCTAGACGCCTTGTCCACCTTCAGTAATACCACCAAATGACGAACACACACCGTGAACTCGCCTATCATTTGCACATGCCAAAGTCAGTTTTCTGAATGCCAGGTGTGAGAGTCATGTATTATTTTAAATCTACAAATTTATACCCATTTGGTGTTTAAGAGGCTCAAGATGAAAACTGTGAGTCTCTTTGTAAGAAAGTTCTCCGTGGCCCACAACTTAGTCCTGATAGGTCTATTTCCTCTTCTTCTCTCTGCCAGGCAGAGGGACTCAAGGATTACAGAATAAGGGTTGGGGCGGTATGAAAATCCACTCCACAAGGCTTTTGCTTGGTCTTGTGCCTTACTCCAGATACAAAGGCAAAGAACATCGAGATGAGGACCCACCAAGGAGCAGATGCGAGGAACAATTACATAAACCACTTCAAAACGAAAATGTGCATGGACAACGGTGCACTCAGTAGGGCGACACGACGCATTATGAGTTTACAATCAGTAAATTCCTACTTTGGGTTGCAACATGAGCAAGCGGGGAACTCAACTTTTCTGTCTTTCCTGCTACTGAGACTTCAACTCCTGTTGATCAGTCAAAGATAAATTAGTTTAAGGACCCTTCTTGTTTTCACAAACGCCAAGTGCTGTGATCTCTTTTTGAGGAGTCAATGTCCGCCTCAGGTCTCCTGAAACCCCTTCTCCATCTGGTTCTCATTAAGCATTAGAAGCCAAAGAATGACTTCTCCCTTCTAGAAACTAGTGCCTAGAGACCTACCTCCTGTCCCTAGCAGAGAAAATGAAAAAGACATCTCTCCCTTTATCCTGGCCCCACCCACCATCCCCTTTTGTCTGGACAAGACTGGAGGCTGTGAGCACACCTCCATGCCCACCCACCTTAGGTTCTGGCGCCAGCTCCATTGTAGCCAAGGAATCCTAGCGCCTCATCACAGAGGATGTAGGGGGAGGGTGCCAGAAAGCAGAAGAGCAGAGACAGGCAGGAGAAGTTAGGGGCTCTCCTCCCCCAGGGTCCAGACCATCTCCGCCCCTGTCTCAGAGGCCCGGAGCACGCCCACGAAAGCTCCTGCGTCGCTGCTAGTCGACTCTCATGGGCCTCAGGCCAGGACTGGGTGGGGGTGAGGGTGGGGGTGGGCAAGGAGGGCTCCAGCGTCACGTGCCTGCACAGGGACCTCAATAAATGCCCGCGAGCGCTGGGGAGCGGCGGAAGCGCCTGGCGCCTGGGCTCTGCACCCTGAGACTGCACCGGGCTGGAGCTCGAGGTCGCCACGGAGCCTTCCCCTTGCCCCACCCCTCCTCCAGCACCGCGGGCTCAGGGACACAGCGGGGCCCTCTGTGCGAGCTGCTTTCCGCGGCCACTCTGCTGTCTAACTTTGGAGACTGCGCCCGCTGCTCCTCCCAGGTTTGCGAGGAGTCACCGAGGTAGGGACCCCAGCCGGCTCCTTGCTGGACTCGGAGTCCTCGGGTGGCGCTGTCCTTCCCCATCGCCGCATCTGTGTGGAGTCCGGGGACAGCTGCGGGGACCCGCTGTCCTGCTGGGCTCAGTTCGCCCGGGAACATCACACTGGAGAGGTAAGGGCAAGTCACAAGCTGCATCCCGTGTGGTTCAGCCGCCAGGTTTTCCCAGCTCCCCTTTTGGAAACGCGATCTAGGAAAAACACCGACTTGTAGAGAAAGGTCTGGCCCAAACCGGGTAGGTGGGTTGCAGGGCAGGAATGGCTCCCTGGCTACAAAGGGTGAGCCTGGATTAGTTCCTGCAAGTGACTGCCCTCCCGGTTCAGTGGACCGCGGGCTCCTGCTGTGTGGGAGGGGTGTGCTCTGCTGTTCTCCCTGGGCACTCTTGGTAGGGCATGGTTCGCAAGTTGGGCACAGACTTTGCAGGGAACATAACTGATGTCTTCATCTGCACGGGGGCAAAGAAAAGTTGCTCAAGGGACCGGAGCCATTCATTCCCGGTGATTCACAGGCCCTCTCCAAGTACCCATGGGCACAGGAATGGATTAGTGCAAAACCTCACTCGCAATTTCAGAACATTATAGACATTATGAATAGCTATGAACCACAAATGAGATGCTAGGATATTGTACCTTAAATTAAAAACAAAACAAAAACGTCTTGAAAGTTTCTACAGAAAATATGGGCCCCTAGACAAAAATAAAACACTGTACTGATGGTAGGTACTCTTTGAAGGCTAAATGTAATCTATGTCATTTAAAACCTTGTAATTCAGCAATTATTCCCAAGCTTTGAGCTTCCTGGCTGCTTTCGCCCTTGACTTTTGGCTTCACGGGAAGCTTGGAAAAAACATATTTTGTGCAAACAGTGGGTTGTAAAAATTCTCTGTGGGGAAGTAGGGACCATGGAGAAAAGGTGCTTTGAAAACCTGAGTGCTTCCTTGTTGAAGTAAATTCATGTTAATCACGTGGCATGTCTTGTAGCCAAAAGGAGTGGAAGTGCCTATCTTGGAGATTTTCCCGGGGGAACCCCGAGGCCGTTCATTATGATGTGTTCTGCACGGGAGTGGTTCAGAGTGACCGCGCTGCTCTTCATGGCTAGAGCCATTCCAGCCATGCTGGTTCCTAACGCCACTTTGTTGGAGAAGCTTTTGGAAAAGTACATGGACGAGGACGGCGAATGGTGGACAGCCAAACAAAGAGGGAAAAGAGCCATCACGGACAACGACATGCAGAGCATCCTGGATCTCCATAACAAACTGAGAAGTCAGGTGTACCCAACAGCTTCTAATATGGAGTATATGGTAAGACATTTTTCACGTGGTGTATACCAAAGAAATGTTTATTGGTGACATCAGCACCTCAGGTAAATTACTTCGTTCCGTCCTTTAAATCGTTTCACAACTCGTCCTGCTTTAGTTTTTTTAAAGTTTTCTTCTAGTATATCCTTTTCGAACACTTTATTTTATTATTATTTCTTTTTTTTTTTTTTCATGGTCCTGTTGTTAAAGGCTCTTTCAATTTCAGCATAAAATTAAGTACCTCAGATCCAGTGTTCTTACTAAGTATTCTAAAACCTCTGCTCTGACCTGCAGGAAGGCCGCTGCCCTCCGGAATGGCCTCCGTATTGGCTTTACATTTCTTTTATTACATGTATTTGTTTTTGTGTAGGGGGGCCCACATGCCATGATGAAGGGGTGGCTGTCAGAGGCCATCTTTCAGAAGTCAGGTTCTTTTTATTCTGAGTGTGAACCCAGGTCTATCAAGCTCAAACCATCAGGCTTGGTGTTCATTGGCTGAGCCATCTGGCCAGCCCCCATATTGGCTTTCAGTTTACTTAGTAGAAAGATTATGTCCTAATGCCTGATGGAACCTTTCTGTAAATGGCAGAGCTAAACAGCTAAGACTCAGACTTTGTCAAGAGTTCTGTGTTGCTGAGCATAGGCATGTCCCATTTTTTTCTCTTGCAAATATGAAAATCTCTTTATAGTTTTGTGTCAGACCGCTTTAGCCATGGCTTACCTCCATGTATTTATTGTCTGTAAACTTCAAAGTACGAATAGAACTCTAGGCAGAGAATTGATTTTTTAAAGAGTCATTTTGTCCTTAATCACCTCATATAAATTAATTGGTCTGGGAAACAAAATCAGCTCTTTAAAATTATTAGCGTACCTTACATATTTACACAGGCATTCAAACATATAGAACTCCCATGAACACAGAATGCACTGTGCTAGCGGTCTGATAGCACATCCTTTGAATGACAGCCAGGCATATTTAGGGACCATTCAAAAGCACAATTCTCCTTTACACACATTGTAGGGTACAATAGTTTCAATGCATTCCAGCTGTTCCTCCCCCCCCCCCCAGCCTGTATTTACATTAGTCCTGATGGATACTCATTAGATACATTTCTGGAAACACGTCAGTTCTAACTTTCTGTGACCCATCCCGAAATAGTGCACTGCATTATTTTAACTTTCACTTGGAAACTGTTTTACTCTAAAGAAACCAGGCAGAATTCAAGACACCTCATCAGAAACTGGGAATTAGGACCCATGTAGAAAACAGAAATTCTGGCGTCATCACTGACTGGCTTTGCGAATGGTCACTCACTATTATGGCTCTGCTCACGTTCCTTAAGGCCATGCCAGGAGGGGACTGATGATTCCTTGAGATTGCCTGCAGTTTAGTTCTACAAAGTAACAGTGTGTCACTGAAGAAATAAGTAATGGAGTTTTAGACCCCCTCACTGTCTATTATACTTGGCATCTAAAGAGATTGCTCATTCTCAAACTTCTATGCAGGATGTGACAGATCATGTTCCTTTTAGAATGTTCTAGACGAAAAAATTCTCTAACTTCCTTCATTAGTGAGCAATGTTCTAGACGAAAAAATTCTCTAACTTCCTTCATTAGTGAGCCTTCAACGAGAGCAAATTACAGAGCCTCTCTGCATTGACCATTGTACATTTATTCCATGATGGCTGGCCTTGGGTGACTTTATGTGCATGTGTTTGTGTGTATGTGTGGCATATGTGTGAAAACATATTCATGTGTGTGTGTACATGTGTGTTTGTGGGTGCACAAGTACTTGTGTGTGCATGCATGAGGGGGGTCCCCCTCCCCACATTACTTTTTAAGATAGGGTCTCTCACTGAACCTGGAACTCACCGAGTCAGCAAGGGTAGGTGGCCGATGAGATCCATGGGTCTGCCTGTCTGTGTTTCTCCAATGTTCCCATCACAGATTTAGACCACCTTACCTGGCTGAGGACAGTACCTCACTCAGGAGCGCCGACGACCTAACTCTGGGTGCTTGCGTCTGAGTGGTAAGCACTTTGTGGACCGTACCATCTCTCTGGTTCCCTCCCCTGACCTTATTTAAAATAAGGAAAAACTTAGGAGTTCAGTCTCACAAAAAGGAATGTGATGGTGTCTCTGTGTAAGATTTAATATGCAAATTGTGAAAAATATTCAGTGGTATTTTTTTTCTCATGTCTACTTATAAATTAAAACAAACCCCAATAATAACTACGCAGAGAACTTATGGTGTCTAGTCTGGGATGTTTATATGGGTTCAATTTTGTTTCATTAGTTTCTTTCTATCCTTGAAATGTAAATTGAGAAAGCAGCCAGGGTTTATGTTGTGTTGCCCTTTGATTCTATTAACATTGGAACTGTGCTCTGGCTTAACGAGTCTGCAGAGCTCTGTGCTCCACTGTAAAGTAATCCTGGGAGTTATTCATTTTAGGATATACATTGAAGGGGTATTAAAATGTGATCATTGGGAATATTGACTTTATAAATTTCAAAGAAATGAATGTACAGATACTGACCAATCTTTTAGAAGGCAGTTAACTCAATGATTTAAAATTATTTTAATAAAGCTGAAATCTAAAAGTTGACCATTTTCTATGTTAAATTTAAATGTCCACTTACACTTTACATGTCTTTTCAGATTAACTGTTGAAACATTCAATCTCCTTATTTCTAATTGGTTCCTATTTTAGTCCTATAATATCCAAGGCATGCACTGACTTATTAATGTCATGTAGAGTTAAAAACTTAGCGTTGGAAACTATGCCTGCCTTTTCTTGAAGAGCTTACAGTTTGATAGAAAAGAGTAGAGAGGGCTTGAAATCCTCACATACATGGGGATACAAAATTCTTTGATCATGCCTATGAACAATGTCAAGGGAACTGTGAGCTTTTCCAGAGTAACTGTGAGGGGTGTGCTGTAGGGTGTACTGTTTTTCCGCCCGCTGCTGCTGGTCTTGTCCCGCCGCCGCCGCCACGCCACCAGCCCCAAATAATACACAGAGACTCTGTATTTGATACAATACTGTTGGCCTGGTTACTTGTTTCTTATCGGCTAGCTCTGCCTTAATTATTAACCCATTTCTGCTGATCTATGTATTTCTCTTACCGGGGAGCCGGCGGCATACTGCTTTCTCCAGACTCTCCATCTTGGCTCCTCCCTCCTACTTTCTATTTCCTCCTTGTCTCCTAGTCCCTCCTATCTTCCTTTCCTATTGGCCAACAGTGCTTTATTATTAACCAGTATGAGAAACATATACAGAATGACATCTCCCATCATCTCCTCTTTTCTGTCTAAAATAACATGAAGGGTTTTAACCTTAACATAGCAAAATATATCACATAACAGTTATCAAATAATCACAGTTAACACTATTTAGTCCATTAACATTTAGCAAGATTTGAAGAAAATATTCCATCATCTATCCTATCTTTGTGTGTCTAAAGTAACTTATCTTTAATACTAAGGAAAACTATAACTATAACTATCTGTCTTCAACTCCTTCAAAGACCACAGAAGGATAATATATAAGCTCTAGAAATGACAGAGACATCTTGCCTTTTCAGTCACCCGAAGTTCTTCTGTAATCTTCCATCTTCAGCCCATAGGCCATAGTATGTCTGACAGACTCTCCAGTAAAGCAGAAAACTTTAAACTGTCTTCTTTATTGGCAGTTTGTCAGTCACTTTTCTCTGTGTCCTGCATACTGTCTCGAAGACTCTTCCATGAAGCAGGATCTCTGTAGCAATGTCCATCTTGAATCAGGAGTCACTTTCCTGTGGGTCCTGCATGTCCAGTTTATACATCACAAAGTCAAACAGTCCAGACAAGAGCAGTATCTTGTCCAAATGGCTAGTCTTGCCATATTGGAAGCAAACGTCATAATGCATTTCTTCGATGTCCATCTTCCTTTCTGGTGCAGGTGGTATTGCCAGGAGCAATTATGTCTCATTGTCAAGTAAAACCCTAAATCATTTTAAATGCCATATTCTGTAGGTCTTTGAAAGGTTTGAAGAATGCCTGTCCATCTCAAATATATGTCTGTATATCTAGAAATACTAACTAACTTAACTATAAGTTCTAACTATCATAGGTAACTATCTATAATCTGTACTACATTATACATTACATTTCTAACTGAGCTCAATAAACACAATACCTAAACAAGAGGAGAAATATACATATCACCTTATTGACCTTAAATTGTATCAATAAATGAAAATCCATTCCAAAACAAAGTATTCATATCTATACCATAATTCCCTTTTTACCTTTAAAAAGAATTGGCTGTGATCATTAACCATTTATAAGCAAATCCATTTAAATGAAAACAAACATTTATAAACGATATTTGGGAATTTGGGCGTCGTTCTTTCCAAACTACTTCCTGCTGATAGGGGGCGCTGTCATGGGGATCCTAAGAAGATGCAGAAATCCTGGCTGTAAGTCTGCGAGGCTGCTTTGTCCAGCTGTTTTGAATGTAGGATCACCAGCAACTGTTTCAGGGGGCCTGGCTTGATCAAACCACATTAGTCTGGAAGGAATCCACAGCTTTTTATTTCCTGTTGAAACAAAAATAGAAATCCTTTTCCCCAGTAACTTGTCCTTGAACTTAAATGTTTGAGTCAAAGCATTTTTAAAATATATAAATTGAATTAATTCAGCAGCATTTCCTTTATCAGTTGTTCTTATTTTCTCAGCAGTCAAACAATGCAGAGACAACACTATAGCATACAGTAACCAGATTCTCTCTGAGCTTTTCATCTTTACCTGGCTTTATTATTACTCTGTTTATTTTACTTTTATTTTATTTCTTGACATAGGGTTTCACTGTGTAACTCTTATCTGTCCTGGAATTTGCTCTGCATACCAGGTTTACTTTGCAAATCACAGAGATCTGCTTGCCTCTGTCTCCTGAGTGCTGGGATTAAAGGCGTGTGCTACAACACCCAGTTCCTCTTTGTCTATTTAAAACCATTTTATTT